CAGATATCAAGACTGTTCAAAGACTGAGCAGTTTATATTTGCACCTCGTTCTGTTGAATAACTGTTCAACACCAAAACGTAAAGCTAGGGGAGTATTACACCAGGAACGTAAAGTCAAAACAGGTTACAATCTTTCTTACATTTCAAGGTCAATGTGTGCTAAGATAATATACTGACATTTAATTTTAAAAACATACATTGACTTAGTTCTTGATTACTTGTGTTTTTGAAAATTACAGTTTTTAACATTTGTTAAGTAGGTCTAGAGCTTACTATTTTATTTAAACACGATAAAATATAAAGTAATTTATTTGTTAATTAACAAAAGATAATAAAATTAATTGTTGAAGAAAGCTAGATCCAGTTGAACACTAGGTGTCTTAAGTGATATATCATCTTTAATGTAGATGATCTTATCTCGACGTTTATTATTATAAATAAAAGTGTTGTGGTAATGGTTATGTTCGTTCTACATTTTACCATGATCAGTTGGCACGGACAGAATTCTGTGTATTTCAGATTTTTGAATGATTGATTGATTGTTTGAGTTTGAAATCAAGAATTAAACATTAATCATCGTTATCTATAAATGTAACCATCTACTTATTTGTATACAGTTGAATTTCTGTTTCAAACAATATTGTAGATGATTTGCATGTCATTTAATTGTTATCACTGTTCTTGAATTCAGTTTATTAAGATCTCTAGTAAAAATAACTTCAGTATTATGTTAGACAAAGTAATTGAATGCAAATAATTTTATTATTACTTAAATAGATAACTTGTCTGAACGAAACGTTGGAATTAGTTAAATTTCAATCGCTGAGAATATTTCAAATATAACTTTCACATATAATGACTTCTCTATACTCGGCGCTCAATTACTGTCAAACTATTCGTTCTAATCTTGACGAATATTCGTAGAAATGTAACAAGTTATATTCCTTTATTTTCTCAGACACATTTCAAAGCAGCTTGAGTTAAGACAATTTCAAAATATATTTTCGCTCCTTGGTCTTAAGAAAAAAAAATTTAATGTTAAACAAAGTTTCTACAAGACTCATTATTGATTAAATCATTCTTCGAACACTGAATACTAGCTGGGATTACATTTTTAGAGGCCAGAGATCTGACATCAGTTAGATTGTTTGATTGATTGTCATTGAAACACTCAAGTCGGCTATCCTCGTATATAATTATCGACTTTATTCGAGTTAATGAATGACGGAATTAAAATAAGTTAAATACGAGAAAGGATTTCGAGTGAGTATATTTTATACAATCATTGATCCAGGAAGACAATCAAAGGAACAAAGAGAAACGAAATGATACGCCGTGGAAAAGGCAAGTAAGCCAACTCCATTTAATCAAGCTTTAATCGATATTTATAGCCGAATAAAAATAAGTCGACGATATGTGATGAGTAGGATAAGATATACACACACATACGCTCATATAAAAAGTCAGAGTTGATTAGTAAATAATTAACAATGTCAAAACGTGACTCAATAATAATGGATAAATTGACCTCTCCAGAAGTTAGAATAAGTTATATGAAGTTGACATAGTAACCGACACTACAATATTGTTTACATCTTAACATCAACCGAATTCTAGGTGAAGTTTATATGATGTGTCAAATACAGTAACTGGAAAGTGGATTGAAACGTATTTTATTTTAGATAGCTAAGATTAATCATCAATAAGTTCGGCGTTCACCTTAATGGATATAGCTAATCATCGACTAGATGTATCTGTATATAAGGAAAGATTTATACTACCAACCAGAGACTTTAACAGTCGTCACCTGACTCTGAGCTTCTGTGATTGTAACTAACATGAGGTAGATCAACCACATTAGTTTACTGATGAAAATTAAGCAGTTAAATTTTGAACCTACTTGGAATCAAACATATAACCTCTAAATCTTGTTTTATGCACGATTTCATGAAGTCACGCAGTCGAGATTCAATAGTCGCTATTTCTAACTCCAGTAAAGCCGAAATTAGATACAAACATCATTTAAAGTTATCAATCGATAACCTTCACATTCCGTAAATAGGTGACTTTCAGAAGTGTGACTTCTCAATAGGACTTCAGGAATTTCATTTCATATCTTCCTATTTTTCACTACTTCTTCAGCTGATATCACTCTATATTGAAAAATGTTACCATATTTCATTGTTTAACGATGATGTATAGCGTAATTTTCCACCTCTTCAGAAGTTTGAATTTATTAGAGTATAATCATAACATAAAAACCATTTTTGCCATTTACTATTTTGTCGTCTTATTTTTTTGTAAATTTGAGCTTCTCTTTCATCTTGCCAAAATTACCCACGCAAGGTTTTCATCTCTTACAGCTTCTTCTTATTGGCTCACTGAACTTTCGATATGCTAATTTTTGCTCTGCTTTCAAAAGCATTATAAACATAACTATATGCAATATGTATTCATCAAATCAATAATCTTTATCATCTCTAATGCATCGTTCGGTGAGTAGGAGGTTATAAACCAGTGTCGGGAAATCGAATTATCATTTAAAGTTGATGATTAAGGTTAGGAATTAGATTTAGGGTTTTCATCCGAGACCTATTATCTTGTACCTGATTGCTTTGTCCATAAATTATAGTCTCGCCCATAATTCTACACCCCTTATTTCCTTGCTCTATCTCTGATCCAGTGAATCACTAACTTCAGTTTAATTCACTTTGTATTACAAATTAAAGAGGGTAAATATTATTAATTGCTACATTTAAAACCGAGTTATATTCGTAGTTCATTACTTCTTTTGTTTGTATACTACTAGTTACGTGATACATGAAATTTTTAGTTATATTTAAAAATCACCTTAATTTATTCTACATCCTCATACATTAATAATTACTCTTATTATTTATTTTATTGATCAAAAAAGTTTATCATTTGCATCTAAGTTAATAATAATAAGGTTTACTTTATTCTTCTGAGAACATTATTCAAAAAGGAAAACCTAACCAGAGATTATGTAGAATTCCATTTTCTTTTCATTCACTATTGAAATGAATTATTATTTCGTTGTGTCCGTATGGCCTGTCAACTATCACGTGATACGATCGTCAATCAGAACAGAGACTTATTGACCAGACCAATGACGCATAAACCACAATCGACTCTGAGTCTTATCGGACCACCTAGATAGTAGCTTCTCACTTAACCAAGTCGGTTCATTCCAGAACCCCAATATCAGCCTCCGGTATATGAATCATATGTTTCAGATATACTTGGTTCATGCATAAGAAAATCAGACCACATCATACCATGAAATAAAAAATAACAATTATACAAGATCAGGCCAAAAAGTGGCCTGAGTGTAAGATACTGTAACTAATATGGTGCGAATAGGTTATGAATGGTAAATCGTATAATAGTAGTCAATAGGTCAAATAGAAGATTACAATAAAAGGAATATGAATATACATATAATATAGTCACCTAATAGTTATACAATAAGGATATATATAATAAAAATCCATAAATAGATCCTAGCGGTTACTATTCACTTATTCTTCTTTCAGATATAACATATTTAGTTATCTTTCATATTCATTTGGAACGAATCTATAATCAAGTAAATTGAATTATTCTTTAAATATATTTAATGAGAAATTTGGGAAGAAATAAGAATACACTGGAATTACAGAACTTACTTAAAAAGTACTATAGATTTAATGGATAAATGTTTGAAAATATATTTATACAATATGTGAAAGTACAACCTAATTAGCTTTTATTCATGATGTTCATTTTCACATTGGATTATTATTTCTTACTTATGTTCATTTTACGTTTATTCGATATTGAGTATAATGGCTTCTACATTTCAACAAACGTACTGTTAGACATGGATTGTGTTTTTTCAAATACATTATTTTGAAATATATTCTTTATTAGCAGAGACCGGTGGTGGCTAGCAGTGGAGTCAAGGACATGCGTTTCGTTTTATTCGTCAGTCGTCAGTTGAATGAACCTGGATTCCAGAGTTGAGCCATCATCCATCTCTGCTTATAAAGCTTGTAGTTTAATGGCAATTTCGAGGCAATCTGCACAAGATGCACATATGCCACAAACAGACTGATCGATTGCATTCTTAAAAATCAATAGGAAGATTCTAACAACTAGCATAGATGAGTTATTCTTTTGAAATTTCAGTATAGCTTCCATGATTAGTAAGCCCATTCATACACATCACTCAATCCCTTCATTTTATCACTCGATTAATTAAATGATTTGTAAAATGGTTTGTTTAATTCTCCATCTCATTTGGAGAAGCAATGGAAACGAAGCAGTACTGGTACAACCAATTCGTTGTAAATTGAACGTTTATTGTGACGTATGTTTAAGAAAGAGAAACTAAAATATCAAGAAAGATAGCTGTTTTGTTCTTTTTTTATCTCGCTGATGGCATTTGGGGCGTACAAACATCCTGAGTGTATGTTTCTCAGGACGTTATTCAAAGAGTATTAATGAATTGAAGTGTGCTAATGGTAATGTATTAGAATGTTTTTTTTTACTTTATCATACAAAATATTATCTTATATACCTCTGTGTTATTTCTATAAATCGTCAGAATTTGTGTCTTGACCACTTAGTTTCGAGTTACAAAAAAACCCCAATAGTTCAATAGCAACCGTTTCAGGGTAACCTAAAATGTATTTTCATAAACTGATGTCAATTTTACTAAAGTAAAAAGCTGCTTCATTCCATATAGTTGATGAATGTCATGAATATATACAGTCTGATTCTTTAAAGGACAAACCAAAAACTCAGGGGTCGATATCAGATGAGTAAAAATGTTTACATTTAATCTTCGATCACGACAGTATCATACATTAATTATTCAATTGAATGTCTGAATTTTATTATAAAAAAGTTGATTTTGATATTTACAGTTGTATGACTCTCACTGAAAACACTCAGAGATAAAAAACGTCATTAGTAAATAATTGTTATTATGAATATTCGGTATCCCTTATGACCAATAAACATTATGTGAAGTTCATATCTTTCGTGTTATCCATGAAATGTTCAAATCTTGTTTCTTGATTTATGAAACTATCAGATATTCACCACGAACTCATCACCTACTTACGCCTGTTACTCCTAACGGAGCATAGGCCGCCGACCAGCATTAGCCATCCCACTCTATCCTGGACCTTCCTTTCTAGTTCGATTGAATTGTTGTTCATTCTTCTCATATCTCTATCTATCTCTCGGTGTAATGTGTTCTTTGGTCTTCCTCTTCTCCTTTGACCTTGAGAATTCCATGTGAGGGCTTGTCTTGTGACACAGTTGGGTGCTTTCCTCAATGTGTGTCCTATCCACTTCCAGCGCTTCTTCCTGATTTCTTCCTCCTCCGGGATCTGGCTTGTTCTCTCTCACAGTAGGTTGTTGCTAATAGTATCTAGCTAACGAATCCGAAGTATTTTCGTGGACAATTGTCAATAAACACTTGTATCTTCTGGATGATGGCTTTCGTAGTTCTCCACGTCTCCACCTCATACAGTAGAATTGTCTTGACATTTGTATTGAGAATTCTGACCTTGGTGTTGGTTGACAACTGTTCCGAGTTCCAGATGCTCTTGCTTCTCCGATCCGCGCCTTCACATCTACATCAGATCCACCGTGTTCATCAATGACACTGCCCAAATATGTGAAGGTTTTTACATCTTTCAAATCTTCTCCGTCAATTGTGATTGGATTGGTGCATGCTGTGTTGTATCGGAGAATCTTACTTTTCCCTTTGTGTATATTGAGACCTACTGCTGCTGAGGCTACTGCTACACTGGTCGTCTTCTCCTGCATTTGTTGTCGCGTTTGCGATAGGAGGGTCAGATCATCTGCGAAGTCTAGATCGTCCAGCTGCATCCTAGATGTCCACTGTATCCCATGCTTCCCTGCAGATGTTGACATCTTCATGATCCAGTTGATCACCAGGAGAAAGAGGAAGTGTTAGAGTAAACAACCTTACCTGACACCGGTCTTTACTTCGAACGAGTCTGTGACCTGTCCTCCATGCAAGATTTTGCAGTGTAATCCATCATATGAGTTCTGTATGATATTGACTATCTTCTGAGGCACGCCGTAGTGTCGAAGAAGCTTCCATAGTGTTGTTCTGTCCACGTTACCAAATGCTTTTTCGTAGTCAATGAAGTTGATGTAGAGTGGTGAATTCCATTCAATCGATTGTTCCACAACGATCCGTAGAGTTGCGATTTTGTCTGTACACGATCGATCCTTACAGAATCCATCCTGTTGGTCTCGAAGTTGGGCGTCTACAGAGTCCTTCATCCTGTTTAACAATACCCTGTTGAAGACTTTTCTCGGTATTGAGAGAAGAGTGATGCCCCTGTAGTTATCACAGTTGCTGAGGTCGCCATTCTTTGATATTTTGACCAGACGTACTTCTTTCCAGTCTCTTAGTACTTGTTCCTCATCCCAAATCTTATTGAAGAGAATGTGGAGTATCCTCTCAGTAACCGCCACGTCTGCTTTCACTGTCTCTGCCGGAATGTTGTCTGGTCCTGCTGCTTTGCCACTCTTGATTTGTCTGATGGCTATGCTGATCTCTACAATTGTTGGTGGACCAGCATCGATTGGGAGGTCCTTGGGTGCTGCTTCGATATTGGGTGGGTTCAGTGGGGCTGGTCGATTCAAGAGTTCTTTGAAGTGTTCTACCCACCTGTTTCGTTGCTCTTCAATGTTGGTGATCACCTCGCCTTCCTTGCTTTTCACTGGTCGTTCTGGTTTGCGGCGATTTCCAGAGAGTTTCTTTGTCGTGTCATACAATTGTCTCATGTTTCCTTCTCTTGCAGCCTTTTCCGCCGTCGTTGCTAAATCTTCCACATATTTACGTTTGTCGGTTCTGATGCTCCTCTTCACTTGTTTGTTTACTTCTGTGTATTCAGCTTGTGCCTTGGCTTTTTCTGCTCTTGTTCGACTGGTATTGATTGCTTCTTTCTTGTTCCTCCTTTCTTGAATCTTATCCAGTGTATCAACAGTGATCCGTTGCTTATGATGGTGCTTCTTGTGACCCAGGACCTCATGACATGTTGAAGTGATTGCCTTTTTGATCCCCTTCCAGTTGCTCTCCACAGTAGTTCCTTCTCCATTGAGTAGATCATGAAAGGCCTGGAACTTATTGCTGAGGACTATCTTGAATTCGTTGAGTTCGTTAGTATCCTGATGAAAGGCCGTATTGAACTTTTGTGATATTGTCCGCCCCATAGTCCAGTGCTTCTTGAGTTTCAATTTCAACTTGGCGACCAGCAAGTGATGATCTGATGCTATATCAGCTCCTCTCTTGGTTCTCACATCCTCCATCGTCCTCCTGAACTTTTTGTTGATGCAGATATGGTCGATTTGGTTTTGCGTAGTGTGATCCGGTGAAGTCCATATGGTTTTGTGAATGCGTTTATGTGGGAATATGGTGCCGCCTATGACCAGTTTATTGAAGGCACATAGGTTTGCAAATCTCCCACCACTTTCGTTCCTTTCTTCCAGTCCGTGTCGTCGCATGACGTCTTCATATCCGGTGTTATCCATACCAACCTTGGCATTTAAATCTCCCATCAGAGTGGTCAGGTCCTTTGTTGGGCTTTTCTCGACGATTGACTGCAGCCTATCGTTGAATTGGTCTTTAACATCCTCATTGTAGTCGTTGGTAGGTGCATAGCATTGGATGACGTTCATTGTAATGCCCTCTTTGTTTTGAACGAGGCTTTGATGATCCTTGGTCCATGAGATTCCCATCCTATAAGTGCATTATGTGCTTGTTTGGACAGCATCAATGCAACTCCTTGTGTATGTGGGGCGTTTTCTTCTTCATGACCGGAGTATAACAGGAACTCTCCTGAAGTTAGTCGTTGTTGTCCAACTTGTGTCCAATGTGTTTCACTGATCCCAAGCACCTCCAGGTTGTATCTCCTCATTTCTGCAGAAATTTGGAAGACTCTCCCGGTCTCCCACATCGTACGAGCATTCCAAGTACCTAAATAAATAGTTGCTCTGGTTGTCAGAAAGGGCATCGTCTTCGTGACTTTCGAAGGAACTCGGCCTTCACCATGAGGCGTCATAGTTCTTCTAAATGAAGACCTTCTGACTCCCAGGGCAGAGTTTAAATGGTTTGAATGATTTTTCTGGTTAGCGTTTTTTTAGCGAGTTAATCTTCTATGGGATGGGTCGCCAACCCTATGCCTAGCCCTCCTCCTTTATCCGCGTTTGGGACCGGCAGTAGCCCCCGGATGGGCTCCAGGCGGAGTTACCATGAACTCATGGGAAATACAAACTAATTTAATTTAATAGATAGCAAGTCCTATAATCAACAAAAAACTTTTAATCTCTCTCATAAGCGAATCTTTAAAGCTCGACAGTCTGCTAAATATATTTTGTCTAAATTCTGTGAAAATTTGCCTCAGCGCCACCTTGAAAATCGGCTTTTATTATTTTAGCGAATTATATTGCTAAGCTCTACTCTTGGTAGTTTCATATCGCTAACTCTTCGTTATGTAGATAGCAGTGTTCTTCATAATTAGGTTCTATGAACTCCATAACCCTGATTATGCTACTATCTAGTTCAAGGCTCCGTCAAGGTAAACCCACCTTATACTATTACTTCATAGTGTTATTTCTCTAATCTCTAAACAGGTTAGTACGCAAAGATTATGAAATAAGCAGAGTCGTTTTTGAAGTCATTTCTACTTTAAGAAATATCCAGAAAAAAATAAAGAGTGAGTTTCTGTACTAAATTCTTATTCGTAAACAAGCATTAAAAGCTCATTGCCTTTTAGCTTTTCTGGATAATTATCATTTATTAAGTGGCGTAAAAACCCCAGGGTCATTTTAACGTCGCTTAAGTCTAGTGTTGTAGTATGGTTTCACCCGGTGGGCATCACTTATGATAGTGTAGTTGAATAGATTCCTGTTAAAACCTTGATTGAAAAAAACAAGAGTAAAAGCGAAGGACTGCTGGGCTACCGAATAATATATACAAATACTCATATATATGTATATGTACCCTATAGAAAATGAATCCATTTCTTAGCTAATGATATGCAGTTGTCCTTCAGGTCATTTCTGGTTGCTCTCAAGTGAACTCATTTGGCTACTTCAGACTGGCTCATCAATTCACCTATGATACTTTTGATTATTTGATCAGAGTAATCACTTGTGTAAAGTCAGTCAACAATAAATGATGAGTGTGTATACTCAACTATAGCGATTGGATTTTCATATGAAACGGACTTAAAAGTAAGGCAATAAACAAGGGATCAGTTTATTATTATTTCAAGAGATTAGAAGAATGTTAAAGTAGTATCATGGATTGAAAAAATATATGGATCGTTGGATATTCTAGTTTTCGATGTTTGTACATTCACCATGTATTCTTTAAAATGATCACTTGGTTGAGACCAGCCTCACCTTGAATGTGTTGTGAATAACCTTGAATGACCTTGCTTTAGGCAGATATAGTTTTACTTATAGAATACTAATTAAAATAAAATAAATAGTTTTATAATGAATACAAATAAAATCAATTACTTATTGATTTAAAAATGTCCATTTCGTTACAATTTACATAGTACCCTAGATTATTAACACCTATGAAAGTATATTATTGCCAAATCATTAAGTAATAAATACATGACCTTAGTTAATAACTCTGACTAAAATGTATGAGTCGCTTTGTACATTGGTCATACAAAATGGACATGATATAGAAAGTTATGTCAGTAATTAATTTATTTTGTTGAAGGAAGACTTCTATAACAGACAGTAGAAATGTCAGTGAGACTATAATTTATGGACAACCTTTGACCGACGCTAGACTGACCTTGAGAGTGTCCACTTAATAACCAGGACTAAATGAGGGTTACAGACCTGTGTGAGGAATTAGAATTATGATTTACAGTTGATGGTTAAGTTTAGGAATTAGATTTAGGGTTTTCATCATAAGTGACATCAGCTATAATGCCAAAAACTCTATTTAGCCAAATGGATGAGTGAATTTCTCGCTAAAATCCGAGATATGTTATCTTATACCTGGGGGGTTCGTCCATAAATTATATTCTTGCCGAAATGTATTCAACATATCCTTTATTCCTTTACTAAACAAGCATACATAAGTTCATTCTAATCCTTTCCAATTATTTAAACCTGAAAAATATGAAATAAAATATAAAAATTCATTCACGTAAGTGGATTATTTAATTAATTCAACGGATAATTCCTCTTTATTAGAGTTAAACGAGTAAAGGAGGAATATGAAACTTGAGTAAATATTCTTCGGTGAATTAATCTGTACATGCTTTTTAACGAGTAATTCATCAAATAATTGTTTCGTAAGGTCTTTATCAAGATCACAATTGTAAGTTATTTTTTAAATCATGAATTATTATTACATCTTTCATATCATATACTTTACAGTCGATCAACCATAAATCTGCTGCTCAGATTTATATCAGAAATATATTGGTTATATACCTACTTAACATGATCAATAAACTGTCATGAATCTCACTATTTTATCTTACTTACATAACCAAGCAAGTTGTTTCTAATTTCTAAATGGTACTGATGACCTATTATCTGGAGCATTAATTGAAGATTTAACAACGTGATAATTTCTGTTCTATTGTTTCCAATAAGTACTCACCTTTATAATTATTTCTAAGTCACACTGTTTTCATGTAGACTGGAGAAAAAATCCTCTACTTAAATGAATATAATTATGTGGTGTGTGCTACTTATATTGACATAAGTAGTAAATGGTGTTGGTCGTGAACAGAAGGTCTGACAGCAGAGAGACAAGAGGATCGAACAGTAAAGAATGGGAACAGAATGCAATTTGTATGAAAATGCAAGAATAATGAATCATTATGAGACAACTGATGGACATTTTGCAAATTACGTATTTACTATCAACTAATTAGAAGTCGATAACTAGGAGACGAATATCCATTGTTTCCTGGCTTTAAATGGCTGTAAACCCTTAAATAATATTGAATTTTTTCCTCAAGTCAATAAATCGAGAACAATGATAAATTTACCTTTTCGTTTCATTCTTTAAAAACAAAATTATGTTTAACGTAATATCAGATAAATTGGATCTTAACATTAATAATTTATTAAATTTGGATAAATGCCAAGATTACCATGATTATGAATAGATGAACAGACAGGCACCGACATAAAACAGACATCAAGTAAACACACGTACGCATCTATTGTGGTGCTTCTTTATTTCATTCTCAAATAAGACCAGTATCCAGCCTCCAATATTTAAAAAAAAATAAGGTCTATAAATAGATAAACAAGTAGACTAATAATATTATTATTCATAATGATCAATCGGTATTATTGATTTATAATATTAAGCTTACAAGTGTAAAGGGAATATCCTACTTGAAGTTGACAGATTAAAATAACTTTAGATAAATATGTATTTTAATGTTAGACATTAGATTTTTATGAGAACATTCCATTAAAGAAAAATGTTTGATAAAAATCAATATAGATTTGGTAACCATAGTGATTTACATTTTGAGTTGATAAAAAAACGATAAAAACAAAGTAAGAATAATTAAAATATAGTTTGTAGCCCAATGAAGTAATGTGATTTTTTTTCCAGATGATCTGATCAAGTCCTTCAGAAGGTTAAATATCGAGCTACATAATTATAACAATAAAGATTTCAATGAATAATTATGGATGGTTCTCGTATATTAAAGGGAATGGATTTGTAATAAGTGAAAATGTCATCACAGCTATTTGACTGTTCAATATTTAATATTAAAATCGAAAACGTTCTATTTTATTATCAAGTTGAAACATTTGTAAATTATAATTCTGATAGATTTACTAACTGTGACTACTTTGTAACATAAATCTTATAACTTTTGACCGGATTTCAATGATTTTCCATGCCATGTTTTGATTTAGGAAAATGATAACTAAGACTAAACCGTACCAAATTTCAGTTTAACTTTGCATATTTTACATTAATTTGGTTGAATAGGAAGCTAATATATGAGTAATGTGGTTTACTGTAAAAACTCAGTTCCTGTAATGACAGTGTTGATACTTACGCAATAAATAAATTTGTCTTCAACTAAATAGTCATTGATGTAAATCTAAGATATCAAACCAGATCCGCCTGTAAACGTTCTAGAGTTACGCATGGCCTAAAGTACAGATAAAGGAGGAGCGTTGCACATATGGTCAATAACCTCATCCCCTAGAAGACAACTCGGATAAAAACAACACGCTAACGAGAAAAAACTATTTCAACCAGTCAACCTCTCTCATCCGAGTTCAACGATATTCATTCAGAGAAATTATGACGAATCATGGTGAAAGACCAGATTCTTCCGAAGTCACCAGACCGATAACACTATTCACAACCAAAACAACAGTCCATATAGATACATAGAATGTCCAGACAATGTGTGAGATTGAAAGGACCAATCAAATAGTTAAGGAAATGACAAGATACAACTTGACACTACTCGGAATCAGTGAAACACATTGGACCCAATCTCGACAGAAAATATTAGGTGCGGGAGAGATGTTGTTCTACTCTGGTCATGAGGAAGAAAACGCTTCGCATATTCAGGAAGTTGCTTTGATGCTGTCCAAAGAACAATGTAAAGCACTTAGTGGATGGCAATCTCATAGGTCTAAAATCATCAAAGTATCCTTCAAAACAAAGAACGAGGTGATCACAATCAATGATATTCAGTGCTACGTGCCCATCAATGACAGCAAAGAAGACAATAAAGATCAGTTTCATGAGAAACTCCAGTTGATAGTAGAGAAGTGCCTGAGAAATAATCTGATCATCCTGATAGGATGGAACAGACTACTTAGCGGGTATGAACATATCATACGACGACATGCACTCGCTAAAACAAATGAGAATTATGACAGAGTTTATATACCTTTATTTATATACCTTCAACAAAATGGTCATAGGTGACAGTATATTTCCCATCCCCAACCCCACCCCATACAAACTCATATACAAAGCTAAATGAGTCTCATCGGATCACACTACACAGAACCAAATCAATCATATTTTTATCAATAAAATATTCAGAATGTCAATGGCACACGTAAGAACAAAGAGAGCAGCCAAACCTGACAACATACCGGCTGAAGTAATAAAGTCAAACATAGAAGTAGCTGCAAACACGCTCCACACTCTATTCAGGCAGGATCGAGAGGAAGAACAAGTGCCACCGACACACAGAAAATAATGACAACTCATCAACATGCCAAACTAAGGAGATCCGAACAAATGTGAAGAATACAGAGGCATCACACTACTATCAATATCATCAAGACTTTTCAACAGAGTGTGGTGTTGCTGAACCGCATAAAACACTCAGTAGAGATCAACAAGC